TCTCTCTCTCTCTCTCTCTCTCTCTCTCTCTCTCTCTCTCGTTCTCTCTCTCTCTCTCTCTCTCTCTCTCTCTCTCTCTCTCTCGTCTCTCTCTCTCTCTCTATCTCTCTCTCACTCATTCCATGCTCCTCTCTCTCTATCTCTCCGGCTTGTACCCCTACAGGACCTCCTCGCCGTCTCCTACGGAGAGTTTGACTACTGCGCGCAGAGGAAGGGCGTCATCTGCTGCTGGTCCGTCAAGAACCCGTCGCATCCTGAGCGCGTCTACACGTCCCCGTCTGGCGTGACTGCCGCCGGCTTCGCGAGTTTCAACCCTAACCTGCTTGCCGTGGGCAGGCACGACGGAACGGTGGCAGTCTACAACGTGCGCAGTGGCCGCGATGAGCCGTTCCTAGACAGTCGGTGAGCCTTTTTGCTGCGGCGCCGCGTCATGCCACCCCCCGCCGTGCCCCACCGTGCCCCGCCCCTCCCTGCCATTCCCGGCATGCCCACCTCCAGGCTATGCCCTGTCACACCACGTCATGCCACGCCCCGCCGTGCCCCGCCCCTCCCTGCCATTCCCGGCATGCCCACCTCCAGGCTATGCCCTGTCACACCACGTCATGCCACACCCCGCCATGCGCTGCCACTCTACACCCTACCGTACCCTGCCACACCACGCCCCGCCAGGCTATGCCCTGCCACGTCCACACCACGCCCCGCCATGCGCTGCCACGCTACACCCTGCCGTACCACGCCCCGCCAGGCTATGCCACACCACGCCACGTTTACTTCCCACCACGCCACACCACACTATGCGATGCTAAGCTGCGCCATGCCATTCCAGGCCACACCACGTGCTGTCACGCTCTTCACGTGGGTTGCTTCATACCCTACCGTGCCACACCGTGCCATGTCCCGTATCCTGTGACACCACACCACGCCACTCATCATACCCTGCCACGTCACACGCCCCCATGCTCAGTGTCCATGCCATGTTAACCATGGATGTAATTGTGTTGTTGTTGGCACATATAACATGAACACGGGCGAAGTTGCTTCAGTGTTTGGTGAGCCTGTTTAACGGCATGAGCTTTGCTGCGTAAGAGAATGACGCATGCGCGTCAACAACAGAGCGTACTTGTATAACGATGACAATGCATGTAGCAGATGTTTGACACGTAAGCGAATCAGAGCAATGCATCAACGCGACCGTATTTCAGCGTAGACTAAACGGTGGGCAGAAATCATAGAAAATAAACATAGTATCATCGGGAGTAACTAAAGGGGATATTATATACTCCTGGCATTATATATCAAGACGAGGTAAGACTATTGCCATCCTCTCATCTTTCTCTCTCTCTCTCTCTCTCTCTCTCTCTCTCTCTGTCTCTCTGTCTCTCTGTCTCTCTCTCTTACTCTCTCTTTCTCTCATCTCTCTCTCTCTCTCTCTCTCTCTCGCTCTCTCGCTCTCTCGCTCTCTCGCTCTCTCGCTCTCTCTCTCTCTCTGTCTCTCTGTCTCTCTGTCTCTCTCTCTTACTCTCTCTTTCTCTCATCTCTCTCTCTCTCTCTCTCTCTCTCTCGCTCTCTCTGTACAGCTGCATATCCAGTGAGTATGGCGGTAAGCACACGGCACCTGTCTGGCAGCTGAGGTGGGTAGAGAAGGAGCGTGCATCAGGAGAGAATGAGGAGATCCTGCTCTCTGTCTCCACCGACGGTCTCGTGCTCGCCTGGTCCATGCGCAAGGGCTTCGAATCGTCAGGTGAGAGCAGACGCCTTGCTGTAACGAAATGCGGCGCTCGGGCGCCATCTAGTGGAGGATTTTGTAAACTTTTAGTGTATAATTAATAATATCATTGATAATATACTTATTATCTTGAAGTAATTATCATTATACCTAACAGAGGCATTAAAAGTTTGCAGCAATATAGGGCATCTAGCCCACTTGTGAAATATGGGTCCACACACTATTAATATAATTATAATAAATCGTTCGATGAAGCTGGACTTCATAGGAAAGACACATAATCATATCAAAAATTGCACATAAAGTGACGTATCAGCCTAAGCGAGATACTCTCATGCTTTGATATTGTTTCCAACCGCACTCAAACACACCTAGTTTTTACTTGCGTTTACATGCGTGCATGCCAAAATATCGACTTTGTGGTAATGCGTTAGCAGACATTTGTCATTGTAATGTCCTATTAGGAGTGTATCATAATAGACTCTATGACTGGTCCTATGACATTGCTGATCGACTGTTGCTGCCTGTCGCTGACGTGGGGCAGATATAGGTCTGCTCCTACTACAGGTGTTCTGCTCAGCAGCTGAACACTCATCTCTTCAGTTCAATTCAATTTACTTTATTTACGCTTATGACTTACATTTTGGAGGCAACGTATTAGTTAAGCAAGTTAATAGACAATGCTAATAAAATTAAATCAAGTGAAACTAAATAAATTGAAGTGTCAGATGGAGGATGAAATGACAAAATTCAACATTAATTGTCTACACTCCACAGTTATCATGAGACTTCAGCGCGTGGCAACCAAGCAGCCGGGTAAGAAGGAGAAGAAGGGAGAGGCGTTCATATCGCGCATGGCTGGTGGCTACTGCTTCAGCTTTAACCCCAGTGACCCAAACATGTGAGCTTGTATTGGTATTAGTTTGTAAGGTCATGATAATATTTTGAGTAATTTTATTGTATGATAAATCCATTGCATTGACCCATATATAACAATTTCGACGTAGCTGTCGTTCCTTTGTCAACCAGAATGGCGTCGCATGGTCTATTTTCAAAAGTGTATATCATGGCAGACACATAATATTTTTATTTATTTAAAGATATATCAACAATTTGTTACTGGGAAGTGTAATGTCAGTAATTCTTATTCATGTGTTGGTCGGTTGTTCCCAACCTGTATTATATTAGGCACATGTTATAAATGATCTGTTGTTAACGTGTCTGTATTTGATGATTTCTTATAGCTATCTAGTCGGAACCGAGGAGGGTTTAATCCACAAGTGCTCATGCTCTTACAGTGAACAGTACTTGGACACGTATGTTGGACACACTGTAAGACTCATGATCTCATGTGAAATTTCCTAATAATATTTTCCCACATTTGTATGCCACGGCACAGCACTTACAAGCAGCAGCTTAAGTTCGGTAGTTTTAGCAAGCGTGGACGCATGATGCTAGCTTACCCGTGTTATTCCTTTACTACGTATAGCAGCTTCTTGTTGTGAAAGGAAGGGATACACAGAGCGAGCTACGGAACTGCGATACATATGTATGGGAGCGTGTTAATGTTAATGTAATGCTGCAATGTGTGTATTATAATAGCGGGCATTGTGAGGTTTCCGTGAAGCAAGTAATCGTGTGTTAACGGTTGAGTGTGACTTTACATGTGACACACAGGGAGCAGTCTATATAGAAGTAAGTAACCATGTATTAACGGTTGAGTGTGACTTTAAATGTGACACACAGGGAGCAGTCTATAGTGTCTGCTGGTCGCCATTCCTTAGCAACATATTTCTGAGCTGCAGTGCAGACTGGAGTCTGAGGTTATGGACGCAGAACCATCACCAGCCGATGCTTACCCTACATTCGTCTTCGGTACGAGCACTGCAGCGCCATCTAGCATGTGATAATTAAAACTGGTTTATGGAGTTTGATGTAAATATATATGTGTGTGTGTGCGTGCGTGCGTGCGTGCGTGCGTGCGTGCGTGCGTGCGTGCGTGTAAACATTCTTGATGTTTGTTGATTTTCCTGTCGACTACAGCTGCAAACCAAAGGACTTTTTCTTATGTCAATTGTACATCAAGTGCGATCTGTCGTGGCAACACAGCCATTTCACTGATTACATCCCAGTCGTCCATCCTTCTCTGCTCTTTCAGTTGTGTAAGAACAGAAGTGGAAATGACCGCTACATGGATAGAGGCATGCACACGTTCAATAATCCTCTGAAGACCAAGGGCCTTCAGACGGAGCTGGTGACTACACGAGACAGTAGCTGTGCAGTCAGCGTGTGGGACATGCACGACACCTACCAGCTTACTGCTGAGATGGAGGCAAAAGGTAAGTGTCCAGCAAGTAGATCAGCCAATTGGTGTCATTACCAATTTCATTACTGGACTTGAAGTTTCTAGTCCCACGTAGATTCATTATCAATTTGTGCTTATCATCTACAATTGACATGATAGAACCAAATCTCAATATATCCTAGAAATGTTCCGAATTTTTCGAATTCAGCTTTATGGCTACTATCTGATATGCTTTCAATGTCCCTAACTGACTCACCATCTTGCCCTTGCTTCAGCCAAGCAGAGGGAGCAGAGTGGAGAAGATGACTGCCCGACAGAAGCTCTCTCTATGTCTCACTGCTCAGATCCAAAGAGGACAGAGAAAGCCAGCCTCGGCACAACTAGCACGACAATCGGTAGGTGCTGCGTTGTATGATCGAGGAACAAAGCTCACGAGGAAGCTTGTATTGAATGAAATATGTTCATTGGATTTCGTTGAAAACTGAATTCATATTTATCTTGTGTTAAATCCAAGAAATTATCTTACTTTCGAAATTTCCGATCTCTCTTCGACTTAATCTTCCTGATGAAGATTTCCCGAAGGGAGATCGAAAAGATAGTAAGTTAATTTCTAGGATTTAACACAAGGTAAATATGAATTCGGAGCTTATATTATTTATATATCACTGCATATGTATTATGCCTCCCGTAAGCAGTGAGCTGTCCTGTAAATAGATCATTGCTAACTTTATAGCTGCGTGGTATCAAGCGATAAGCTTATTGAACCCACGCGGGGGTTAGCGTTGTATCCCGTAGAGAAGATCCAGACCTCTGCTGCACGCATCATTATACTAGTTATGTTATGATTGGGTCAGCTTGCGCAGTTTTGGTGATACATACATACTTACGTACATACGTACATACGTAAACGCATACACACTTCCGTATGCATATGGATTTGCAAGCCCTCGCACAGGCACATGCACACAGGCGCACGCACACAGACAGACAGACAGACAGACAGACACACGCACACACACCCTCGTGTACATACAGACACGCATGCACATACATTGACAGACAGATGGACACACAGACAGACAGACAGGTAGACAGGCAGACAGACAGACGAATAATACATACACCCGCACAACGTAAACAGCTTGTCAATGTTACTCTCAGATGGCAGTCGTTTCACGGTGTGGAGCGATGTCGCGGGCGACGACGCGTCGCGGGCAGTGTCTGCCGGCGGAGCGAGCGGCGAAGCCAACAGCGCAGAGGCGGCTGCGCGCCTGCTGGCATCCGAATCTCTCAAGTGCAGTCTGTTCACGATGGAGCGCGTCGTCAACCTGAACGTCTTCCAGCCGAAGCAGGCTGTCTATAGAGGTCTGCAGGCTGTCGAGGGTACGTGCCGTCATCCTCGCGCGTCGACTCTTAGCTCACGTGCGAAGTTGTTAAATGTTTGCGAGAACGTGTGGAGGGAGAGGTGTGTATGAGAGATGAGAACTGCACACACACACACACACAGGGCACACAACACACACACCGGCACAACACACACACACACACCCACACACACACACACACACACACACACACCACCCACACACACACACACACAACACACACAACACACACACAAAAACACGACACACACACACACTACCACACACACAACACACACGCAAACATATTATAAATACACACACCAACACCCACACACCACCCACCAGAGAACACACGCAAAGAGATACACCGCACGTACAGGCACCACGTACACGCAGAAATCAGCACGTGCACATATGTATACATCACACATACATACCACACATGCACCGTACACGCAATGCACACACACACACGTGCGCGTGCGCCGCGCACACAAACACACACATCATACACACGACAGACACGACACACTATGCACACACAGGCGGGCCGCGCAGCGCACAACAGGCACACAACCACACAACACAGATCACACACACACACACACAACACACACACCCACAGCACACACACACACACACACACAGTAGGCACACACCACACACACACACACACACACACACAACACATCACAGCACACACAAGGCACACAGCACACAACACAGCGCAGCGACACAAATTGCCACAACAGCACACACAACAGTCAATCCGCGCACACACACACACACAATACACATTTTGCGCACACATTATATATATATAACAGCACACAGCACACACAACACATACGCACCACAGCCACACACACACACACCAGAGCACACGTCACACGCACACGCACACACCACACACAAACACCACACAAACATCACACACACACACACACACACACATCACACACACACACAGCACCCCAACACGATACAAGACAGACACAGACACGACACACACACGCACTAGCACCTACGCACACGCACGACCGCACACCACAACGGAACTCCCACGCACGCACAACGCACACACACATATATAATATAATATATAATATATATTTATATATATATGACACACAAATATGCACCCGCCACACACACAGCACCATAAACACGCACATGCACACTCATATGCACACCGTACACACAGACATACACACACAACCAAAATATACACACCACACGCATAGATACACACACACGTCATACATACACACGGCACACGCAACCAACATGCAACACGCACACGTATACACAGACATACACACAACACGCACGCTATACACAGACGGCACACACCACACGCATATCTCTGCACGCACCACGCATCACAAACACACCACCACACGCAACGCACGCAGCCTCACGCACCAGCACACACACACATATATATATTACATCAAACTTCCATAAACCAGTTTTAAACACATGCTTAGAATGGCGGCGCAGTGCCGTAACCGAAGATCGAAGTATGGAGCAGCGCTGTGAGTGGTCTGGCGCGCATAACCTCAGACTCCAGTCTGCACTGCAGCTCAGAAATATGTTCTAATGAATGGACCACAGACACTAAGACCTCCCGCTGTGTGTCAACATTAACCGGTCACACCAACCGTTAATACCATGGTTAACTTACTTCTATATAGACTGCTCCAATGTTGTCACATGTAAAGCACACTCAAACCGTAACACACGATACTGCTTCACGAACACAGCTAACAATGCCCGCTATTATAATACACACATTGCAGCATACATTAACATTACACCCTCCCATACATATGTACGTAAACCGAGTTGCCGTAGCTCGCCTTGTATCCTTCCTTTCACGCACAAACAAGAAGCTGCTATAACGTAAGTATAAGGAAACGCAACACGCGGAGATCTTGACAGGCGAAAAGTCTGCGGACCGCGTGGGCTGAAGGTACTAGTCCGAGATTAAGCCTGCTGCTTTGTGAAAGTGCCTGTGCACCGTGGCGATACAATGGTGGCGGGGAGGAAATATTATTGGAGGCGAAGAAGTTCAGGACATGTGGATGGAGTCGGAGGTGCTTAGCAGGGTCCAACATTGAACACACATATAGCGTTCCAAGGTGACGGTTGCAGGAGTAAATGAGCCGAATAAACCTACTCTTGTGGAATTAAAGATCTCGCTCTCGCTCGGGTTAGACTGGTAATATGAGCGGCGGTCAGTTAGTAAAAGTCAGGCAAATAACGAGACACGTTAACAACAAATAATTATAAACCACATTGGCCTAAAAAATACAGGGTGGAACAACCGACCAACACAATATAGAATTACTGACATTACACTTCCCAGTAACAATTGTTGATTAATTCTTTTAAATAAATAAAAATATTATTGCCTGCCATGATAACACTTTGAAATAGCGCCATGCGACCCATTCTGTGACAAAGAACACAGCTAACGTCGAATATTTTGTTATAATTATAGGTATGTTGGTTGTCAATGCCAATGGATTTATCATACAATAGAAATACTCAAGAATTTACAATGACGCTTACAATACTAAGATACCAATACAAGCTCAGCATGTTTGGTCACTGGGTTAAACGCTCGAAAGCAGTAGGCTCACCACCTGCGCGAGTATGAACGCGTTCTCCCTTCTTCGCCTTCTATCACCGCTGCTTGGTTGCATCGCCACGCGCGAACGTCTCATAAGTAACAATTTAATGTTGAAATTTGTCATTTCATCCCTCCGTCATCTGAACACTTCAATTATTAGTTCACACGGATGTAATTATTAGCTCATTGGCTATTAACTTGCGTTTAACTAATACGTTGCCGTACCAAAATGAAGTCATAACAAAAAATGAATTGAACTGAACAGAGATGAGTCAGCTGCTAGCAGCACAAACCTTAGTAGGAGCAGACCTATACTGCCCCACTCAGCAACAGGCAGCAACAGTCCGATGCAGTCAAGTGTCATAGGACCATCAAGAAGTCTAATAGATACACCCTAATATGACATAGCAATGCAAATCTGCTACGGCGAGCGCGAGCAGAAGCGATATTGGTGGCATGCACGCCATGCTAAACGCGCAAGTAAATAACTAGTGTTTGAGTGCGGTGAAAACAATACATAAGTGCATGAGGACTCGCTAGGCTGATACTCAGCTTTAGTGGAAATTTGAATATGATTATGGTTCTTTCCTGATGGAAAGTCCAGCTTCACGAACATTTATATATTATAAAGTTAATAGTGTGGACCATAATTCATCAAGTGGCTAGATGCCCAATATGCTGGCAAACTTTAATGCCTCTGAAGGTATAATGATAATTAAATTAATATAATAAGTATAATAATGATATTATAATTATACACTCAAAAATTTAACAAAATCC